CAGCCTTGCAGTCGCATCAGTGTATCGTGACGTGGCTTTGTACCTCAATATCTCATAAAGCCTTACCCAACTGACGCAATTCCCAAAGAGTTGTTTGCTCTTTAGAACAAACTTACCAAAAATGACATTCCCAAGTAGGTACCTAAGTATCCAAACGATGAATGACTTTTCTTATCTAATACAGTATCAAAATAGTACCTACACATAAGTTAACGCAGTCTGATTCAGACCAACCAACAAAGCATCTTTACGTGTTTCTCGTAAGGTTGTCTTTATCCTCTTCTTATACGGACTATTAAATATTTATTATATCTTCACAAGTTTTTCAAGTAAGCTTTAACTACTATTAAATGCCAAGTATAGAATGCATTTATATCAACCTCAACTCCTACAATCAAAATGGCCTAGTTCTGATGCTCTCTTCCAAATTAATATCAATTTCCCCGGAACACCAACTAGTTTTTTTTTATACATGGGAGAACTATGAATATCACCGAAGCAATGTCGTCTTGATGTATAGCGTGGTTGTGTCCTTTTGCCCAACATCGGACCGTCTTGCCGATAAACTATGTATTGAGGTTAATAGTATGAGGAAATATAGCAACAGCTCATAAGATGCTGACTAACAGAAGGACTTGTCTACCACCACTATATAATGTCAGAGTACTCATTATTGATGCACTTATTAAACCAACTGTTATTCTTGGCATTTTGCATCCTTACCAAACTTATCGTCTATAGCAGTTCAACGTTATAGCTTCAAGAACGTTACAAATCAAAAATGTATAACATATCTTTTTTATATGGACGCGTTGTCACTTAGTGGCGGATAAAGCCTAATCCATGGGTGTACACGTACTCATTGAAAAAGCTTGATGCTCGGCCACTTCAGCCTCAATACTCGTCCTATGCCAAGAGTCTGGAAGCTGGGGAAGCCGGGGAATCACCTTACTGGCTTCCCGCACTTCAGCCTGATCGATACAGGCCTGCACGGCAATAAGCGAGACGGAATCACAAAGCCTCCTATTGGTATAAAGAAAATAAGTCGTTCCACATTACGGAAGTGTATCTGGCTTAAACGGATTGACATCTTAGAATTGGAAGTAGAAGTGAGGCTTAACCCTTGCCTAATTACTTCTCACTATTGAAGCACGTTACTCCTAATACACTAGCTTTTTTACCTTCCTTTGACAGCTCAATGCATTTGCCAGTAGGGATTAGGCAGACCGCCGGATTCAATTCGCGTCTAAACGCAGGGTATGTTTGTAGGATGCCAACGCCTATCTCACCGCGTGTAGGGCCGCATCTTCGGAGCTAGAGTCTAGGTCTTTTCCACCGGCTTTCCACCGGACCAATTACCTGGAACTCGCTCTCCGACCCTCGAGCATTCCCTTCCCTTCCCTTACCCCGACCTGCTTATGTCCTACAAGTAGAACCGAAACCCCCTACTAGTATACTGTGTAGACCTAGCATAGACATGACTAGCGAGTCGAAGGTTCGCGACTCTACGAGTTTAGATCGCTCACAAGCTACAGCATAGTGCATTGCGCCGCTCTAGTTGCTATATCCGCCAACCTCGCCTAGAGAGTGGCAAGGACTAGCTGGGCGCCGTCATGCAGGCGTAAATGCGGGGAAGCCATACACAAACCATACCCGCAGGGATCGACGGTCCACCTGTTAGGTTTCGGTTGACAGATAGAAATAAGTATTCGCCTTAAAACAGCCATAAAAGGATGATTCAAAGCATCGTGATCACAATGCAGAAATAACGCTAGACAGAAAAGAGTCAGGCTGTTCTTAAAGGGAACAGGCCACATCCCAAGCTGTAAGTAGCTTGATGGGGTTATACACATCTCGTTTGACATAAATCGTAGTCTTGTCCTGCAACCAACGGCTTTTTACATGTCAACCGATTCTACTAACCAGACAGACGATTGCATTGAGAGTGCCGTATGTTACCTGCTCCATCACCCACAATGAGCGGATCGGTCGAGCTCTACTAGACAACATAAGCAAAGGGGCAGCTTTACAACCGAGGCCCTGGAGTCATTTCATCCCAGAGTTTCCAAAGAGCGCCATTAGCACAAACATATTCCTAATAAGAAAATGAGGAAATGATTTATGCAGCCACAAGTAGGAGATCACTTGGGAGGGTATCTTATGACCGAGGATAAGACTGAAGGGGGGTCACGTGCGAAAACAGATTACGCGTGGCGGCATGTGAGATCATAGAAGGAATAAGTCGACCTTAAATCTCGAAAGAAGAAAAAGAAAACCCATCGGAGTGTGGTTTAAGTGATCCGTCGAAGTGGCCGACAGTTGGATCAAATAGGACAAATCGAGCAACTCCCGATACTCCGAGGTCATTCATGCCAAGAGATTCCTTTTGGTTGACACACACACACACACACACCATCCTACTTCCTTACAAACTCACCGAGAAAGGGACCGGCCCGGAAATTTAAAATTACCAATTGGATGTCTCCCAAAACCGCGGGATACAGAGTGTTACGGATATTTCCAGTGTTTCGGGCCTAACTATCAATTCCCCACGAGGAATTGATTTGAGCTCGGCCCGCTCGTCGTATCCAGCTATATCGCCCACTCATTATTATAATAAGTGAAGGCGGGGGAGGGGGTCCTTGGGCCAAAAATTAACCAGGGACAACGTAAAGGAACTGGGCCAACTTTGTTGTTTACGGTCTTCTGCAACCGCGGGCCATTCCGCTGCAGCAGTAGTAAAGCTGTCATATGTTTGTCAATTGTTACAACAGGTTGGGCACCGTTTATTGCAGATCCCGCACAGGCTGCACATCTTCGGATCGGGAAGCAACACCGATTCATGAAACGAGAAAAGCATTCCTTCGGGTTAAAGTACTCAAACGGAGACGAGACGAAACCCATTCCACCGGAAAGCCTGCCGGAAGTCTAATAAGTCCAATCATCATCCAATCGTTGATCGTTGAATGGTTACTGCAGTCCAAGACCATGGCTTAGAAGAGAGCAGGGGGGGGTAAAAGGACCAGCAAAAGACGTAAGACCCAGCTCGCACTTCATTCCAATGGTGCTCGTCTAAGATCGAACCGAAAAAAATACGAATGTGGTAGAAGGCGTCCTAGGAAGCATTCTATCGTAGGGATTTACTGGTTATCAAAAGTTGAACGGGCCACGATAGTCTACGGTGATCCACGGGTTGTTTTTTGGAGAATCAACCAATTCTCGCAAAGTCTCTAGAAAGGGGCAGGGGAGAAAAGAAAGGAATAGTGAGAGACAGAGAGAGAAAAAAAAAGTTGAGGAACGCATAAGCACATGTCGCTGATCCCCTGGAGGGGAAAAGTTGAAGTCATTGAAGAATTTTGATTGATCAAAAAGGTATAACCCAAGTACCCAAAACTGGGTCTAAGTGGAGATCCGACTGAGCGGCCGGCCCCGGAAAGTACCTTCCAGCTACAATTATCCAGTTACAGGACAGGCTAGGCAAGCTAGGTCGGATTTTACGTGGGCCGCAGGGCAGCAACAACTAAACACGCATTCCCCTAAAACGAATTGCAAAAATGGAATTCGCTTACAGCTTGTCCATGTACTCGGCCCCTGTCAGGGTCAGACCGGCAAACGGAAGAAAATCATCTTCGAGCACCAACACTAACACTAACGCTAACACCAACAATTACACTTTTGTGCATGGGGCCAATAAACATAATACTACTAATAACTCTGACAATCACCCAAGTCATACTCACGACGAAGGAGACAACGAGAATTATCACGGCCAAGACCAAGACCAAGACCAAGACCAAGACCACGAGCATAACTCCGATCAGAACCATGGAGAACTAGAAGTCGGTACTGGAGATCAGACTAACAATAGTAACGGGGAGGAAGATCAGCATCAGCAAGACCACAAAAAGACAAAGAAACGGAAGAGCAATTCGCTTAGGTCAAGGATACCTGGTAGGCGTCGGCCACCACCTGCCGGAACTCTCCCGCAAGCTCTGGCACATAGGCCGGCGTCGCATTACTCCCATTCTAGGACCTCCTCCTCATTTAGTGCCAGCTCCCGTGCGTCGCACGAAACACAAACACTTACACAGCAAACAACACGAACTCAACCATTACCACCATTACCACCATTACCACCATTACCAACAATACCAACATTACCAACCCCATTATCATTGGCACAACAATATATTCACATACAGACACAAGCACAACATTCTAACTTGACAGGCTTGGCCCTTACCCATGCCCTATCCGGCGGCAACTCGACTAATGACACCGTCTCCTCGTCACCGCCTGCTGCTTCAAGCCTAGATAGCCTAGATACAGGGGCGAATACAGGCATACGAATAGGCTCAAAGCCGAATGATGGAAAAGGGGCAAGTGCCGTAACAACCAATACTACCACTACTACAGCCACCCACCATATTTCCTCTTCTTCTTCGTCGCCTACAGTACCTATAGTCAACAACAACGTCAGTAACACCAAGAATTCGACTGTTGCATCCACATCCGCACCCGCGCCGCCGTTAGCCGCCGCTTCAGCCTCAACCTTGACTTCGATCGCATCCGTCTCCCATCCGTCTACCTCTGCAATTTTACCGCCCGCCTCCGATTCCGAGCGACCGTCTACTTCGCCAAAATCCTTAAGATTCATTAGATCCATACATATACCTATCTTTAGCTCCGACAGCGGTTATCAACTGCCTTATTCTGCCGGTTTCCCTTCGACGACTAACAGGTTGCAAAAGCGCGATTCTATCCATTACCATACGTCAGCAGCTCATAGTTCACGACGTCCGTCGACGCCGGCTCCGCCTACCCAAACTCCTTTGGGCCTATTATCGCCTGCTCGCCGAAGATCGTCCAAGAGTAAACATCATGACTCAATGACAATGGAGCCTGGTTACGTCCCTGCTCAAAAGTACGCCTCGGCGTCGTCCCGTACTGGCGGCGTCTACGCTGGATCCGGCTCTTCTCACCCCGACCACCCTTCCATTATGGCATCAAATGAGAACTTATCCTCGAAGGAGGGGAGCATAGCTCCGTCTACGGCCTCGACTTCCACCAAGCATTCGCTCACCGTGGCAAAGACATTCATCATGCGAAATAACCGACTTTACATCAACCAACCTTCGCTATTGTATCCTTTACCAGTCGACTTAACAGAACTTCATCGTCAATCTTTGCGCACACTGATGCTATTACAGCTTTTCGGCGGTCCGACAACAGCACCCGAGTTTTCCAATAAGCCCCCACAGCGTGTCCTCGAAGTAGGGTGTGGCTCTGCATTCTGGAGTATGATGTGCCATCGGTACTTTGCGCAGCATGGCCACTCATCCATATCCTTTACCGGCCTCGATATTGCGCCTCTAGTGGGGATGGGCCTCGATGGAGGTTGGAGACCAGACAAGGACATGCGCTGGCGGTTCGTCCAACACGATGTACGGCGGCGACCATGGCCGTTTGTCGACAGCGAATTCGACTTAATTATGGTCAAAGACATGTCGCTCTCGCTTTCGACTTCCATGCGCGACTCACAACAGCTCTTCGAAGAGTACTTGCGCATACTGAAGCCAGGTGGCGTGATTGAATTTTGGGAGAGTGATCATGCCGTGCGTATGCTAAGACCACATGTTCTTAGGGCTCCGGTTGCGTCGAAGGCCGCCGACTCTGATTCAGACTCGGACGATAGTAGCGAGGAAGAAGATGACGTAGAGAAATTAGGAGCCTATATCATGACGAACAACACCCCGCTCAGCGCGCCGCTAAACCCATTCCTCGTCGAGTATAATGGCTGGGCAATCAAAGGCTTAGATGCGTTGGGTCTGTCAGCGGTTCCTTGTGCGCTGATCGGCGCCTATCTCTTACAGGAAGTGGATACCCTTATGGAATTGCGATCAAAGAGGATAGCGGTACCGCTGAGCGAGATTAGATGGGAGCGCGAAGGTGTCGGTGGTGTAGTGACAAAGGACGGCAAGAGCTATATCGACTCGATGAAAAGAAAGGGCAGGTTAATCGATTCTCGAGTTGATAAGCGGAAGGGGCTGACAACTAGCCAAGCTGCTCTCAGACGAACCGCGCTAGAGACGATGGTAGGGTTGATACTCTGCCTCGAGCCGATCATCCGAGAAGTTAGCGGGAAGAGCCAAGACGAATGGGACGGATGGTGCGGAAAGATGATGAACGATCTACTGCGCGAAGGCGGCACGAGTTGGGGAGAATGTCTGGAAGTCGGAGCATGGTGCGCCAGAAAGAAGCTAAATCCGACATCATAATTCGAATGTCTAGTCTACCTATTTGGCTGTTTACCCATGCTATATTTGGTCGACATCCTTGGCATCGATTCGCCTTGATCCACCGATCTAAATCTTCACGATGTCGACACCCGGAGGGCGATCTACTAACGGATCCAGCTCAATCCGGAAATATAGCTCTCTAACACACTTCCTTGCAGCCAATTATAGTCCATCATACCTCTTCCTAAGAGTACGATACCGTTTCAAGAAGTACCTATAACGCCATATGTCAATACCACGGCCAGCGCTTCAACGCCACATTACATTAAACCAGATGATAAATCCACGACGTTTACTTTGTGAGGAAAATCGAAGGGGAAACTGGGGACAGGTTTTGGTGATGCATATTCGGGACTGGGATCCTGGCTACATTCTTGTCTTATCTCTTTTATTTTTACATATATATCGGGTGCATTGAACGGGAGACATGATTGGAAAGATACAACGAGTATATATGTGTGGGCGGAGCTAACTAGGCACAGAACGATGTTCGTCCTAGGAAGTTATATAAAGGAATTGACCACTAAGCCCGAGGAGAGCTTGATGTTTATAGACGATACGAATGGAATAACTTTGGATGAAATCATTGCGAAATTGTAGTATGCGTGAAAGTAACCTGCTAGGTATCGACTCGTAACGAATGGATTCGACAATTAGACTTACAGCGCCTCGAGTTCTTATAGATGAATACCAAGTTAGCCCCTAATTCTTCGAAAATAACCCGAAATACTCGCATTATAGATTTCATAGGGCCAGAATAGCAGACAGCCAGATACCCAACCTACCTTTCTTTACATACTCGGCTTTTTTAATAGCTCCCTGGATTTCCTTCTTGTCGCGCAGTGACGCTTTCTCCTGGAAGGCCTTATGGAGCCGTTTTCGGAAGTAATCGTAGCCCTTGGGATAGTCGCGGCCGCGGTTCAGAAGCTCCTTGTAGATGGATATGACCTGCCGCCGCAACACGGGATTAGGCGGGGGCAGCATGGAGGTGGTTAAGGCATCGTTGGTGCGGGTGGGTTTTAGTTTGAAGCGTTTTTGGAGGTGTTGCGAGACGGAGGAGAAGAGTCGGATTGGGCGGGTGAAGGTGGACATGGTGTATGTCGGTTGGTAGGAGGTGGGCAGATATGTACCTACCTGTTAACCTAGGTCATTAATATACATGTACGAGGAAAAGAAAGACGGTTGGACATGACGCAACGCTATAGCGCTGGCACCGGTTTATCTTATCACGGCTAGCTGAAGCTAAGCTGTAAGGTACCTAGCAGTACATAGCACTTCCCCTACCGAGGTTGCCCCTCTAATGTGCCCCTCCGAGCTACATATGTACGACTTAAGCTTAACTTCTACCTTGCATGTACCCTTTATATGTACCTCCTAACCTAACTTCTCTTACTTCTTGTTTGCGACAGCTACTCGTATTATACAAATCAACTTCCTCTCTGTACATACATGCGCCTATATATCTCGGTACATAATCCAATTGGCCGCCTGTAAATACATACCTTAAGGTGCCTGCACAATGCCTCCTAGACCACGCTTAAAACCAACATATACCCTCCGCTTGCTATCTCCAGTTGTCTGCCGACAACCCGCGCCCCGAGTAGAATCCTTTGCCTCCTTCAGTAGCAAATACTCGAGTCGCAATTCCTCCACCACGACGAAGCCAGTCGTACTGCCGCTCCCGCCTAGTAAATGGTACTCGGACCTCAAAGCGCGAATCGGAAAATGTATCATGTTCGGCTGCACCAACGACCAGGCGCTGCAAGCCGCCGCCATCCTGCGCGTCCTCGGCACGGAGTGGCGCGAGCTAACCGCCGGTGCCGAGGGGTTTCTGACGGGCGGGCATAGGGGACTTGAGAACCAGCAGGTTGTGTGGGGGGAGATGGACAGTTTTGTAGGTAGTCCGTCCCAGCCCGGAGTAGACAGTACCTAGTAGCAGAAAGGGGAGTAGGAATAGTAGAAAGCGCTAACAGATAAGTAACAACGGACAGGGCCATGTGAATAATACCAATTACATCCGGTACGCCGAGTCTGCGCGCGTCAACTGGATCATACACTTTGCGAGCGTAGACCCGGGGAACGGGACGCGGTGGAGGGAGCTTATGACGCCGAAGGGGACGGGGCTGATTATGAAGTCAATTAAAGCCGAGTATAAATTCGTACGTCTACTATCCTCTTGTCCTCTCCTAATGTCGCCAGTCGATACGCAGATTTAATATGTCTGTCTGTGTAACAAATAGGACGATCGATACTAACGACCCGCAGCCCATGACCTACCCAGACACCATTGCCGCGTACCACAAGCTGCGCTCGCAGCCCTCGGCTACCGACACCTCGCTCGTGCTCGACTGCATCATTCTGTCGCACCTGCACCGGCGCGTCGCCGCGCGGACGGAGGAAGACATCGTTATATACGACTACGGGGCCGCGCAGAAAACATCGGTCCCGCCCTTCGCGCTCGGCGCGTTCCAGGACGTCTGGCGTCGGCAGGAAGAGGAGACGCGGGAAGCTAGGCAGCGCATATGGGAACTTGTGAAAAGGGTAGAGGGGCTCGAGAAGGGGACTTGGGATAGGCCGGGTGCGGTGGAAGATCTAGGGGGGAAGGGGGGTGTTAAGAAGGATGATTCTGGGATAGAGGAGGTTCTAGAAGATGATGTTGAAAAGGAGGAGGAGGTTAGAAAGGAGGTCAAGGAAGATGTTGTCAAGAAGAGCGGCGCACCTACTAACACGATTGTTAATAAGGTACGCTCGTTGTTTTAATTTTCTCCTGGGGAGAAGTGTTGAAGATAGAAGGGGTTAGGTATCAGAGGGAACATATGTGTTCCCTTGAGGTGTTACGAAACTAGTGAAGCGGGTGGCGGGTGGCGGCGTCGTTTCCAGTTTGTACGACTTCATGGCTATATGTAGGAGTCATCGTACTCCCAGCGGCATCAGATATCCTAGAGATTCCAGGCGTGTTTCTCGCTTAAGTTTTCTGATACGAAGATAGTAGACACTTAGAAGCTTGTGCCTTGTTATACTACCAGATAGGGATTATATAGTGCTATAGGTATTAAAAATTTCTTCAAAATTTTAGTGTTTTTTATTACAAGTTAGAAATAGAAATGGCTCTTAATACGTCGAAGCTAGATTTAGGTATGATATTGAGAATAACCATTATCCTTGTTTATCTATGTTAAGTTTATACACCAAACTATAGAAATATATGTTACGAGTTATTGCTAATTCACTTTAAGATCTTAAAGTCTTATACCTATGATACGAATCTATTTAGGAACTTGAAATGAGCAACATCATCCTCAGACATTTAACGCTCTATTGATTTCGTGATAGGTGCCTAGGTAGGTATTAGATTTATACTCGTGATGAATGTCAGGATATCTGTATTGAACTATTTACACCTGCCCTTCTACCCTCTTACGAGGGCGTTGCGCGCCTCGCATATACCCAATCCTAGTAGATCTAACTACCCTGAATCTACCCCTGGCCCACTTTTAGGTTCTTAGGACGTATGCTTTTTATATTAGTTAAAGTCAGGCATAATGTTACTGAATTATCTTCCAGCAAAGTATGTCAACTCGTATTTAAACCCGCATTGCGCGCCGTTCGCTTCTTAAACCTAAGTCTATCTTAGAAAGCAATATCTAACATACGGCACGAACATGGCTAATACCTATGGTTAACGGAGTCGGCGACCTCGGGCGAGTAAAAGCGCCCGACTTGTTACCATGGCATACGGAGGCCAGTTGAAATGTTTTACGTAACGCCTATAACTCAGAACATACTGGTATTCTCAAGCCATGTCGAGTCTACTCCACCAGCGGTTTCTTTTGGCCCAACGGGCTATATCACCAAACAGAGGTAAGGAAGACCTATGTTCTCGAAAGCTTCTCAGTTATAGAATCATCAAATAATAGCCAAACTAGGACGATGAAACAGAGACACCGCATTTATCTTCCGTACTATACGAGGAAGGAGACGAAATCCCATCTAGCATCAGTGGCGTTTTGAAACACGACATCATAAATGGAAAAGCGAATAAGCCTCTACATATATTACTTGTTCACTCGCTTCATAGAATTAACTGCAAGAAATTTCCGGGTACGGGGGTTGGCGGTTACCTATAAATCCGTCACACATTGCCTGTCGAGTCCAAGTCGAATTACCATCGCAGGATGCTATCCACTGGAATCGGCTTCACTGAGGTTCAGCAATGGCTAGCTGATTGTGACAACAAACACAAATGCTGTAGTCACCCCGGCGATATGGAGCCTTTGCTTCAGGGTCTTAAGTTCATCGACTGCAAAACAGAACGCGTTGTTGATGCTCAGAGCGGTTAGGAATATGTAGCATTGAGCTACGTCTGGGGACAGAAACATCAGGATAAGACATCGAAACATCAAACATTCCCATCAACTATCGAGGACAGTATACAGGACCTCCCGAAGTATGCTGAGGATGAATCACGTAAAACTGTGATTCTAGGCGATTTGGATCACGCGATCTACTGGCCGGGATGGACGACTGAAGTGAGATTCTCCGTTGAAGGGGATGGAACCCATATCCTCAAGAACGAACGATCTCTCGATGAGGAAATATCTAAAGAACATAGAAACCGCCCCTTTTTCACACCCCATGATAAAACCGACACGAACTAGGTACTGGCCTGTGTACGGTTATTGTGATGCGTTGGGGCGGACCTGTTCAGTATTGCGGTCCTACCGACTGTCTTGTCCTGGCAAACGAAGACCGAGATTGCTTCTCACGCATTGGGATAGAATCAACCCAGACGAGATAAGTCCCGATACGACACAAGTTATCAAAAACGGTAGGACATTCACTCAAAAAACTGTAAAAAATAATCTAAGATCAACATACTGATTCATGGCCCGTGATGGGAGGGGGCTCTGTCTTGACCTAGAGCCTGCAATGGTACGGTGAAGGAACGAGTAGGATATAAATCTGAGGATTCTTCTATATGTCTACCTACCTAGTAGTCATTCCTTCAGCTATCAATCTAAGACTACATTTACGCAATATGTGCCTAGTTTAATGCCGGAGACTTACACTACGAACATGAAATTCCAAACTAGAGTTGTACAAGACAAGTCTTATGGGCTATCTGAATGGATAGAGCTGGCAATCTAGTTTTTGTAGTGTCTACAATAAGGCATTGATGTTTAATATAGGTTTACTATCTAGGAAAAGTGAATGAAGAGATTCATAATGGGTTAAGGAGTTACGGTATCAATACAATAGCTTGATTTACTAAGTTATAATTTGTAAACTAAGTTCCTGTACGGATTCGTACAGCTAGTCGCAATAATATTATAGAGGTATTCTTCAATAAGACCGTATTTAGTTTGATAAATAAGGTAGAAACGCTGTAGACTAAATTTGGTACCGCTAGAGTTCTAATTGTGATATCTTTTTAGGTTGAAGCCGCATGAAATATTTTGCTAAATTCTATATTCATGCTTCAGACGACTTTCTACAGGATGATGAAACCTAACTTAGCCATTAGATCAACATAGCCCGCCATCTATCTTCACCTAATGATCCCCGGAGGTACGCTTTGAGCTTGGCTGATCTAGCGGTAGCGTTGCCCCTGATCGTATCCTAGACTTAAGCTCGATTTGATCGTTCCTTAATTTTTGATCGTTCCTTAATTCCCCATGGGGTACTGCTTCTTGTCATCTGTGTCCGGACACGTCGACCTATCCAGTAGCGCCTCCGACGGCCTCACTTCGGCCAGCAACTCCGACCATTACTCGGCCATCTTCATCACGATCGTGGAGCAGGTAGAGTCGAGGGTTTGCCTCACAAGGCAGTCGAGTAATGCTTTGGGGCTAGCCGAAGTTATGATGGACTGAGTGAAGTGTCATGAAGGCGAAACTAGTAAGAGTCATGCACCCTCGCCAATATTTAGCAGATCTCATGCGCTTTCTGGGCCAACTAGCTCGTTTCCTGCGTCCATCACAAACGACTCCAAATTTTCATACCTGACTTCTGGGAAGTGTGCTTGAGTCTAGGCCAGACTGGGCACATAATTCGTAGGGTGAAGTCAAGACTCGCATTCTTATGCCTCCGTGGCTACTGCACACCCCTTTCCGGGCCGAAAGGAGTCCCGTAGCCTCACGCAGACCAAGGAGGTATAATCACTTCCTAGATAGTAAAGAGGCACAATGTGAGGGTTGAATTGCTAGCAAGGACAATCGAAGCGAGTTTTGGTGGCTACCAATCGGCCGAGGCACCCGAGTCTAAGGTGCAGGAGATTGGACTACGATGTTGAAGTAGCAGACCGATCGAGATCCTGGCCCGAACTGAATATGTCATCCCAGTGCTAGCTTTCTATCAGCCGGTATCAGAGGTTTTTAGTATAGCTTAGTCTAATTAGACCCAGCGAGAACGCGGGGAATATCCCGTTTGAGAATAGGTATTTGGAGGCCAAATGTTTATGGGAAGTTGTTGAAGGAGTTATTACATGGTTACAGCACCGCAAGCACAGCCGTTGTCATAGGCATCGATCAATGTCTCAAAGGTATGTTTAAGATCTACGTGTTGTTGTTCACCATAACGGTCTAGTCAGGGACCATGCAGCTACGTCAAATCAACCATGCATTAACGCACATAGTATTGTCATCTCAGTAAGGGGGTTGGGTAAGGCTTTTTGATTTCAGAATCGTCGTGTGATTGGTGTGTTTTTATGTATGCTTATTTCTCTTCAATTTACTCGCAACAATACTTTAATAATTCGGACATACATACCTCATTAACATACGTAAGCTACCCTAACGTGAATGAACGAGCTTATCTGGCGAGTTTACTCTGATATGGTTCGATGCTGGACCGTAAGACTAGTGTGCGTATTTCGATCAGGAGATTTGCATGGCGTTAGATCGTTATAAGCTTTCAGAGGCGTCCTAAATGCTTTGATGCGGCGCAGTCGGTCACTAGAACCAGAATGGATTAGCAGCACTTTTCCAACTGTCGCCGCAATGGAGTCACATATACATATAGAATCATGTGTAATTTGTGTGTACCTAGGTTGGGTATGAGGTCTGTATGCCTCGGTCTTTCGTCTTGTCGATTTGGACGCCCCTTATTTCAAATACATGCATTGGATGATTAGACGAAGAAGCAGAAGCGAACCCCAGATTTCCAGCCATCGCAAGTCCCGGCATGGGGAACTGATCACGGTTATATGATGAGATTGGTGGATAAACCCCATGCCTAATCGAACGAATCCTAGGATGGCGGCCCCGTTTCGAGATGCGCAAACCCGGGGAAAAGGCACGGAAAAGGCATCGCATCCCATCTTCATTCGGCCCGACGCGTTTATGGGCTTATTGTTCATGGTGCGAAATGCTAGGACTATCATGGAGTTTGAATATGCTTACTATACAAGCCTCTGGCAGTTGTCCATTATTTTGCGGGGGAGTAGGATGGGTTACATAGCATGAGGAAGAATTCGGGGGAGAAAAGCTGGGGTTCGCTTGACGTCTTCTCCGCATGGGCTAGGGTTAGAAGATGGTAGAGTTGGTGGATTATTTTTACATATGTACATAGGTATACTATAGTAGATGTTTTGATATGAGATGAGGTTTCTCGTGAGGCGTGATACGAGTGAGCTGAAAATAGTAATAATAGAAAATAAATAACAGCTCAGCGGGATGACAACTCTTGCTTTAGGTACCTCGCCCTATGAAGATCTCGGGCGAGTCAAGCCACCTTTCGGAGTTAATGTTATATGGAGAAACAAAAGTGCTTCATGCTTTATTACGTATCTCTACCGACGACTGAAAACGGGTGCCTCAGCCGAGAAACTTTCCTCTTTTCGCTTGTGATTTGCGAGCTGGCAACGGCATTGGAAATTGGGGCAACACAAAGGCACAGGCTGTGTGGTCTAAGCGGCACTGTATTTATTCGCACTATGAGCATAATGCTGTTGGCAGGATCGTCATCCATGTTTTCCATGTCACGTATCATGCATATTACATAGCAAGACTTTCTTCAACTACTACTCGCTCTGTGGTTCTAGTAAGCTGCTGCTGTGCGACCTCCGTTCAG